TTCAAATCTTACGCGGGAGAAAACCCGAACAACCAAAGATCTACATATAAATACCCGCGAGAACCTCAGAAAACAAATATTGTATGTATGTGTATATGTGTATATCCAACTTAAACATAAAACTATTAACTATCCATAATGCAACTCTTCAATAATTTTACACATTACTCGACATATGCAGTAGAGCAGAAAATTAAATTTGACAATTTTAAAGGTACTAATTAGCATACTTTTAGTTTACTTGTAAAGTTTTACTAGAGAGAAAATTCTGTTTCACAAGCAGTTATCTTTGTCTGGAAGGTATGGTAAATCCTGTACTGGCAGTTGAATATTTTAGTTATTTAAACAGTCTAAGAATAAACAAGTTCCAAAACAAACAAACAAAAACCACAAAAAAGAGAGCCCGTCTTAATATTTTCTTCATATAAATGACTTAAACAAGTGGATTCTTAAAAAGTTTGACAATTATCATATGTAGAATTATATTTGTATGTGTATATCACAATTATATACAAATACAAATATAATTCTACTTACGATAATTGCCAAAGTTTTTAAGAATCTACTTGTTTCATATAAGTCATTTATATGAAGAAAATATTAAGACTTGGGCTCTCATTTTTGAAGATGCCGAAGACATTGCCATGGATAGGATTCATTGGAAGAAACTTGCTGCCCTATGTGCTTCCTGCAAAAGGAACCAACGATGATGATGAATTATATTTGTATTTAAGCCTTAGATATAACATAATAATATATAATGTTGCACTTCTGTCTTTTTCATGTAAAAAGAGGAAAGTACCAGAATTTAAAGCCATGTTTAGTAATTTGATTCACTATCCATCGTACTTTGTGCAATTAGAAGAAAAAAATCCTGTTCCTCCATTCATTGATCGAAGATGGAGAGGAAAGGCACAGCAACGCTTTGAGACTTTTCAGCAACTTGTGGTGTAAGTGTCCTGATATTTTATATTAGTTACATGATGATTCAGGATACTGTTAGCGATTGTTGCAACCAAGTCTGCAGTTTAAATTTGATTTGAGAAATGCTATCTCTGGAATGAGCAACTGTTAAAGCATGAAAAACAGATCTGTTGAGGAAAGCTATGTAAATGTGACCCAGCTACATTGGGCTGGGCATATGGTTCCTAGTATATAAGAAATATAGTTTGAAAAAGTTTCACCATTTTCACTTCAAGGTGTTGTTGGTAGTTACCTACTGAAACCCCACTAACTTTTAAAAAACAAACTTTGTAAGAGATTAGTGTTACATTTCTCTGAAATATCAGATTCACTAATAATTTGTACGTATTATTTTTCTGTATAGAATCCCAGCTTCCCTTCAGGTGCCCAGAATTGAATATGAAGATCCCGACATTAATGGAAGGAATCGCTGGAAATACTTTGAACGGTGGGAAACATACAAATTAAATCTTAATGACCAAATTAATAGCTATTGCCAAAATACATTAGAAATGAAGATTCTTTCCTAATTTCAATTACCCCCTGCCCCAAGTACTTATAGCTTGAGCAGCGTCTTAATCAGATGCCTTGGTTAAAGGTAAATCTGACATGATGTAGAATGGTTACAAGAGGTCATGTGTGTTGTAAGATACAATACTAATTGTTTTTATCATTTAATAGTTCAAAATATTTTACTCTCTGAAACTTGTAAAATTTTGACACATACACACACACACGGTAACATGTTTGAAATGAAATTTGAGAATGAAAAATATATTTTTGTAATAGCTAAGAGAGACTACTGATTATATATTTTTAAGCAAACTTTTATTCAACTACAATCAAGAAATTCTACAAAATGATTTTAGGATAGATTTGGGATGGTAATATGAACTGTTATAAAATAAACTAAGTAAATTATGATTATCTTGTAAAACATGAATGAATAAAAGTATAGTCAAATGATTGATTAATAATGATACTAAGGTATTTAATTTTTGATTGAAAATATGAGATTATATGCAATGTAATTGTAATTGAAGACTACGAAATGGAAGCACAAAACAATTTGTAAACCAACCAGCACACTGTATGTACACATATGGAAGATAGCTTGATGTTTTTATGTTTTGTTTGTTTATGTTTGTTTTTAAAAACCAATGAAAATTAAAAAAAAAGAAATTCCACAGTTTTCAATATATACATAAAATAAGAATTAAAATATCCATAGACAGGTTAAAACCAGTTAGTTATTGAAAAGAGGTCAGTTAGGTAATATGTAGTTGCTGCTGAAATAAGAGTCTGGGGGATTATAAGTGAAGAAATATCCTTTTTGCTTCATTGGTTTATTCTTAAATTTGTGTTTATTTTTAGACCTTTCATCCCATTTGATAAGCCAATTCCACTGAATGTTGTTTATGCAATGTCAAAGTAAGTAATAAACCAGTATTAGTTCTAATGTTTAATCACTGAAATGATAAGTTTTTTCATATCTCAAGAAATTAGTTTTTCTAATAATTAAATTAAAAGGCATGAAAACAGCCTAAGACAAAATATTGTTAAGCATAGGGTGGCACACACAGATTCCCCCCAATCCCTGGGATGCTGATATGAAGTACACACATGTCTTTCAGTGGTGGGATTCAAATTTTTCTACTACCAGTTCTGTGGGTGTGGCTTGGTGGGCGTGGCAAGGGAAGGATACTGTAAAATCTCCAGTCAGTGGTGGTATTTGCCGGTTCTCCAAACTACTCAAAATTTCTGCTACTGGTTCTCCAGAACTGGTCACAACTTGCTGAATACCACCTCTGATGTCTTTATATCCTAGGAGGGAAGATTGGGAAAATGAATCAATATGTGTGTGTGTTGCATTATATTAAAAACAGAATCCAGGTACAGCAAAATATTGAGGAAAGTAATTTATAAAATGAAATAACAAGATTAAGAAGGTTTAGGAATGATGGAATGTAATATTTTTGAACCCCTTAGTAACATTGTGGAATGACAAAGCATATTATAATGTGACATAACTAAAGTCTTATTTTAATCATGTAGGAACTTTTGAAAGATGTTGTTTGGTTCCTTGCATTTTAGGTCAGAGCTACAGTCTCATCCAGCAAAATCCAAAGACAAACCAGCCTATCTCATTTCACGAACCGTGGAAACACAAACAGATTATCGGGATGGTGAAGCTCAGACAGACCCATATAGCCCTGAATACATAGTTCCTTCAGGTTCAATACCTGAATTGTTAACTCTTGCCACGCTGACTTGGGGTGAGTTTAAGACCTGATGAACACAGGGTACAATGTTTTTCTGTAATATAATTAAGTTCCCATGACATCACCCTTCATACCTTTGGCTTTCAAAGAAGAAACAACATCAGATATCTATTATGAGGGCACTTAAGACTTTTATCAATTCCAATAGCCAAGGTGCTTACAAAATTCACTGACTTAATTTGTGTTAGGAACTCTATTTGCCTGTCTGCCATTCTTCCAATCATTCTCCTGTCATTGGCCATTTAATAGCTGAGTAGTAAAGTTACAGAAATATAATAGAAGCAGGTGGAGATTTTAAGAATGGTCACATCCTACTCCATTTCTGCAGTATGTATTATGAGAGTCTTGGCTGTCTTTTCCAGAATTAGCCACTGGAGCAGAAATAAAAGTAGTTTCTGCTGCTGATCCATCTGTCAGAATGGAATAGACAGTTGGCTAAGCAAATCATAGCTCCTAAATGTTTGTTTGGCTGATCTGTTTTGGAGTTTCACAAACCTGTGCTCACATGACCTGTCAGTTTTTATTTTACCTTTGTGCACACATACATACACAAAAAAATTTTTAGTTACCAAAATTGTTGATACTATTATCTGATGTATAAAACTCTGTTTTACAGTTATCAACAATCTTCATCAGGGCATACATCTTGTCAACTGAAAGGAAGATACTATCTGGTTTCCCCACGTTTATATATTACCTATCTTACTATCCAAACTGAGAAAAAAATGTAATGTTTTGCCGTGTTCTAATTTACAAACAGGAAATAAAGAAAAGTAAAGTGAAATAATATCTACATCTGATTCAGCTCTAACAATAGAAGATTGTTGTAGATTTTGGCTATTTTGGATACTCTGATTGTAAATTTCACATTAATTATAAAATAAAGGGGTTTCATACCTAAATGGCATAGCAGAGAGCAAGCTCCCAAAAGAAGGCGATAGAACAAAGAAATTAGGATCTTATTTCACTTAATCATATTATTAAAACATTACTATGAACAATATTATTTTTGTACATAGCTCCTCTTTAAAAATTTGGCATAGAGCAAAGTGAGACAATGATGTAATTCCCCTTCTGCAGTCTGTACAATTCATATCTAGAGATGAATGGTCAACTGGGAAAAATTGCTTTTCTCTTTCAGTATACTTAATTTCCAGGATCTATTTATTTATTTATTTGATTTGTCAATTGCTTACAAAATAATAGGTATAAGTATAAACATGAGTAAGAATACAGGAAATAGGTACGAATAAATGGTGACAATAGGACAGGGATGGTAGGCACGATGGTGCTAGAAAATTATAGCGATTGAGATCTTGAAAAGGATTGAGTACCATCACAAAATCAGAACCTGCTCCAACATTTCAAAATCATAAAGTAATCTCAAATACTATTAAAGGGTTTGCTGCAACTCTTTATAGCAACTGTGATTATTGAAACTCAATTGGTAAATGTAGTGTCAATCTCCCTTTTTTTTCCAGTCTACCCAATTGCTGAGCTCTTTTACAAAATTGCATTTTTTAAAAAGCAGTTTGGATGAAAGATGGTGAAAATCTTATCAAATTGCAAGTGACACTAATATAGATGGTATACTTTTTATGTTAGAAGAGAAATAACATTCAAAATGTATTTGGTCAGTGAAATAGGCAAAGTTTACCACATGGAATAAATAAATGCAGAGGCATAGATTGCTTGCTAATGATATGTATGAAAAAGTTCTTGGAATTATAATTTATGTACAGCTAAATATTAAGTCAATAGTATGATGTGATTTCAAGCAAACATCCAAATAATGTTTCTTTTGCTGGGCATTACACTCTAAGAACAATAATTACAACAGGGCAATAATTACAATCAAAAGCCGGAAAATTAAGTTCAGTGGAAGAAAATTGAAGGAGCTGGGAGGGTTTAGAGTTGAGAAAATATGACTGCGTGGGATATGGTTATACTCTTTGAATACACTCCCAAAATGCATTAGAAGCAGGTTAAGATAAAGAAGATTTAGATAAAGAAGTCTAACAAAAAGGATCGACAGAATATAAAAATTACCAAGCAAATTTAAGGAAGATGATTTGTTTAAATTTTAAGATAAATCACTGGAGAAGGGATATGATACTTTTCAAACATATGTAAGGAATAAAACAATGGTTTTGTATTATAGGAAGGTAGATTCCAGTTTCCAAATTATGAAAAGCTTAGTAGCAGTAAGAAGGGTTTGACAGGAATGGGTGGATGCTTTACTTTGGATTTCAGCATTGAGGGAGAGATTGAATATGATGGTTTAAAATGACTTCTAATCATTTATTTTTCAATACTTCAAGGGGTATTTTTAGCTTTAGAATTTTAGCTTTAGAATTTTGCACTACACTAGAATTTAAAATAATATTTTGGCTCCTATCCTTCACAATACTGTATTTTGAGCCTTCTGTCTGTTTATTGTTTCTCGTTCTTTCCTGTTCTTTCAAGGTCATGGCCTTCCAGCAACTCAAGCAGAAGTAGAAGTAATTGAACGAGCCCGGGAGAAACGAGCCTGGGAGGCCACTCTTCCACCACTGAATGATGCTGCACACATTGCAAAACGGAGGAAAATGATGGAGGAAATGGAGAGAAAAGAGTGGGCCTTTCGGGAGGAAGAAATAGAAGAGTAGGTAGTTTTTATCTTCCTATGTTCTTACCCCCATCCTTGGCAGACGTGGTAATGGGAAGTGTGTGTTATCTGAATACTTCTTGGCCCCAAAATGCCATGGTTCAAATCATCTACATGGTCAGCATGCTGTATATTTGGTTTCTGGATTTATGATGGCCAGCTGTATTCTGCTAAACCAAGGGTGTCAAACTCAAGGCTTGTGGGCTGTATCCAGCCCAAAGGGTGTTTAGATCTGGCCTGTGGGGCCACCCTGGAAACAGCAAAGGAACGGATCATGCTACGTCTACCAGTGAAAACGGAGCTCAGGGGGGCACTTGCAGTTTCCTCGAACCCTGGTTTCGGTCATGACGGCCTCCTGCAGCCCTCTGCAAGTGAAAATGACCCCTCAAGCCAGGGCCTGTTTTTACTGGTAGAGAGTTGCAGGAGGCCGTCACAGCTGAAAACAGGGCCTGGGGAGACGGTGCACAGCCCCCCTAAGCTCTGTTTTCACTGGCAGAGAGCTAGCAAAACAAACTAAAAACAAAAAGAGAAATGTTTCCCCTTTTGCACTTGAACATCCAAGAAGGAAAGGAGAAAGGGAAAGAGGAAAGAAAAAGAGAAAGACAGAAACATGGGAAGAGAACAAAGAAGGAAAAATAAGGAAGGAGGAAGAAAGGAGAATGAAGAGGGAAGGAAAAGGAAGAACGGAAGGAAAGAAGGAAGGAAGGAAGCACTTGGCACTTGGCCACCACAGGTGCCCCCACACAAGTGATGTTGAGCTGGCCATGCCTACCTGGCCATGCCTACCCCAGTTATGCCCCTCCCCCTGAGGTTAAACACAACCCTGATGTGGCCTTCAATGAAGTCAAGTTTGACATCCCTGTGCTAAATGGAAGCAGTAATATATAATTAGAATAAAACATCGAAGAGGCAATACTTACAATATGTGTAAGCTTCTGGGTTTCTTAAAATTCTTCAAGTGAAACGCTTAAAAGGAAGACAGGAATTTTTGGCTGGTTATGAACTGTCCATATATAATTTGCATTCTGAAATGCAAATGCAGTTGAAATGTTATCCAAGGCCTTATGATAGAATATGGTGCTAACTTACAAGAAGAGCATTCTGTAAGGATTTTGGGAGGTACACAATCCTTTGCTTTTTTTAAGCTCCCATTGTTATATATAAATTTCAGGAACTGAAAAACACACAGTAACTATTTCTATGGGCTGGGTGTGTGTGTGTGTGTCTTCAAATACATTTTTGTCAGTTTTCTAGTCAGGCCTTTTCAGAAGTGGTTTGCTATTGCCTCCTCCCTAGTGGCTAAAACAAGTGACTGGCCCAAGGTTATCCAGCTGGCTCTGTACCTAAAGTGGGACTAAAACTCATAATCTTTTGATTTCTATCCGCATATCTTAACAAATACACTGATTATTTCTCTTGGTTACTGGAAACAGAAATAAGCTTGATAGTATTTATATTTGTAGGCCTGGAAATGAATTTATTAGATAATATGAGTTAATCAAAGTCAAACCCAATGATTATGGAAAGCCCTCTTTTTATGTACAGTATTCACTGTTGAGATTAAACATTTATAGGATTAGACACAGCATAAGAGAGACTGATGTTAAACTATATGCAGTCTATTAATAGTGCATTATCCTGTCAGATGTTTAGTGATCTGCCTTTGGGTTCTGCAGTCTCAGTAAACAGGTTTTTTTAAAGTTTTTGGCAATGCATGATTGGTACTACACAGTACTCTAGCTATTTGCTGTAGACATCTAAATTATGTTATTATTGATTTCTTATACACTATTTCCAATATCAGATTTTAGTAGACTTTCACATAAAGTTCTCTTGAGAATATACTTTATATCTTCAACATAAAGAACTCATGATTACTCCTTTTTACAGATAAAGGATATAATAATATTTATGCTTATAATAAATGGACATGTATTTGCTCTTTTGAAGACTGCAAGAAGTGAGACTAAACCTTCTAAAGGCCTTGCTGATGAAACGAGAAGAGAAGCACAATGAATTAAATGTCAGTTGCTTAGATACACACTGGTTTAAACTTATGCAAGAAAAAGAAAAGAAAGTGAAAAAGATTCAACACGAACACATAAAAGGTATGGAGCAAAATCATTAGATAATAAGTATATTCTCAAGAAAGCTGAAATTCCTAGCATTAATTTCTGTCTGTCAAGTGCCCAGTATCCACAAAATAATTCCTAATTATTATCCACGAAATAATCCCTAATATCTGATCATAATTTTGAATCTATAGAAATATGACAAGGATACCAAGGTAATTTTTCATTGTCAAAAAGTCAAAGAATCTTGACGTCTACAAATGCTATATGTAGAGTTGTTTTTTGTTTCTGAGACTATTCTTCACTAAATAGTTTAATGCTAGGTACATGATAGAATTCTTATCTTCAAAGTCAACTTCATCTTCTGCCAACTTATTCTCAGCACTAAATTAGTGTAATAACTTCCAGTATAGATGTCCGGTGTAGAATATATTAATACCTAAAGGTCTGAAAGGACAATAATTGGTTAGAGCTGTCCACCAGGACAGCAACACAACATGGCTAGGACTGCCTCTTTATAGTAATTAATGAATTCATTGCAGTTGACCGTGTTTGTAATTGCCTGTTTATATCTCCACATTCCTGCTCTGGGAAACCTGGCTGGTAACAAAAATGCAACAAGATATTACATTATCTCATTCTTAGCAAATGGAAATAGTAGTAGCCAGATCTCAGTCTTCAAGGAAATGAAGAGGTCAGTTGTTATATTTAAAACTGATGTAATTTTATCTGCAATTTATTTACAGCAATCAGAAGATTAATAGCCAAGGGAAAAAATGTAGAGGGAAAACTAGAGAGAAGAAATGTAATTAAGGACTACACTGAATATGAATCACAGCCTTATGCTCCATTATCAAGAATTGGCTACTTTCCAGATAATAATGCAGATCGTTATGTAGTAAAGAATTCCTTTCTCAACACCTATGAAGGTGAGCCATGTTCAAATTCATTCATTCATTCCAGGATCACTGTGTCCTATACAGAGCTGCCAGTGTGGGAAGTTAGATTCACATGCATCCTTGTGCATTAGTACTCCATTGAAACAAATAGAAATACTCTTATGGATGAGAAAAACTCCATTTATGAAGGAGTCACCTTGGACAAAAGAGGTTAGTTCTCTTGCATCAATGTTAAAACATACCTTCTAGTTTCTATGTACATCTTCTATTTTTCTCAGGATTACTTGAACTAGAAGCATTTCTGCCTGATTCCGTTACACAGCCCCGAACTGAAGCTCCCAAACCGAGAAGCTTAACCACAAAAGATGGATTCACTAAGCGGTCTGCTAGACTAGAGATGGAATTAGCACAGGTTTACCAGGTATTTTATTTTCTGTCAGGCCATTTCAACTTTTGGTGGATGACATCCACAATATGTGGCCTTTTTGGTTTTGGGAATGTAACTTGTAGTAAGAAATCAAGAAAAATTATAGATTCAAAACATGTCAAAAACATGTTATTTATTGCTAATTTTCAGTGTTATATTATCTTCTCTCATTCTGTTTTCATTTCTATTTCATACAGTCTTTTAAACTGGGGAAAAACATTATATTTTCTCTAGGTTGTCTCCTCAAAATTCCTTTTTATTACATTGTAAAAATATAGGAAATTTCAATCAGAGATTGTCTATAAATATAGTAAAATGTATGAGTAATTTTATTTACTATGAACATAGTAAATAAGAAAATAATGTTGGGGCCAATTAGATACAGACTGATTTTTCATATTATACAACTTTTCCAGACACTGCAAGACAGAAAAGATCATGTTAAGAAGCCACGCAAGCCACTACGTTTTCTTCAGAGGTTATCAAAGATTTTGCCTCGCCCACCCACTCCAGAATTGGAAATACCATCACTAGTAGGTTATTATTACCTTTTATTGTTAGAGTACAACATGTGTACAATGAGATTGGTTGAGCCTCCCTTCATACACCCCCCACACACACACAACTCACGGTGAGGACAGGAGTCCCTAACCTAGACCCAATCTTATTACCTTATGTGAACTTGTTGCATAATGCGCCGGCCCCGCAAATTATGTTGACATGAAGTTATTTTCTGTTCAGAAGTCTGACAGCCCACAGGTAGAAACTGTTCTTCAGCCTGTTGGTGCGGCTGGCTATGCTTCTATATCTTCTACCTGATGATAGGAGAGTGAAGAAGTGCTGACCAGGGTGTGAGTCGTCCCTGAGAATTTTCCTCACTCTTCTAAGGCAGCGAGCCCTAGCGAGGTCATCTAGTGGTATCAGGGAACAGACCACGATGTTTTGTGCTGTGCTCACCACCCTCTGTAATGTTTTTCTATCCATGGCTGTCAAGCCAGCATACCACACCGTAATACAATATGAGAGGACACTTTCTGTTGTGGATCGGTAAAAGGAGGTAATCAGTCATTGTTCCACTTTATTCTTTCGCAAGACCCTAAGGAAATGGAGTCTCTTTTGGGCCTTTCTGGCCACCTGGGTTGTGTTGATTTTCCAGGTGACATCTTCGCTGAGGTAGACCCCCAGGAATTTAAAGGAGGAAACTCTCTCCACACAGCTCCCCTCAATGTAAAGTGGGGCGGGTTCCTCTCTCCTCTTCTGGAAGTCTAACGCCATTTCCTTTGTCTTGCTGAAGTTTAGGTGCAGGTTGTTTTCTAGGCACTATGAGGATAATTTTTGAACCTCCCCCCTGTATGCTTTTTCGTCTCCACCTGTAATGAAACCCAATACAGTAGTATCATCTGCAAACTTAATGATCACAGTGGATGGGTCAGATGATACACAATCGTGTGTACAGTGAGTACAGGTAGGGACTGAGCACACAGCCCTGTGGGAAGCCAGTGCTAAGCTTCAGGGAGGTGGATGTGACAGACCCAGCCCTCACTGTTTGTGGTTGGTCCCTCAGAAAGTCTTTTTTTTTTAATTTTTATTTTAACAACAAAACAACATAGACATACCACATAAAACATAAAATATCATCCTTCATAAATTTACAAACAGTGCATCGATTGGTTTGCCACTTTTTTTGTGCATCCATTTCCTAGTCACTAATATAATTATATTACATAATAGCTCATATTATCAATCAATAATTGTATAACCTAATATCATCACTAAAAAAATCATTTATCTATAATTTTGTTAATTCATATTTTAACGAGATAACGATAGTTTACTTAGTTTATTTTGCAATAAATCATAAGATCATACCAAATCTATCTTGATAATGTTTTATAAAGATAATATCAAGAAAAAAAAGGAAAAAAAATTTTTTATGCTAAATCTGAATATTCTATTATTATGTTTTAT